CAGGGGCTAACGAGGCCGGTAACTACGGATGTGCCCTCTGGATCAGCAAGGATATCCCATATGCAACTGTTGCCGGTAAGCCTCTCTGCCTGGAGCCACAGCATTGCACCGTTTCAGCAACTTCTCCTCGACATCTTGTCGTCTGTGTTGAGGCACCATATTTGCGCCTCGGGGTCCTTGTTGTGCATGCACCTTCGGACCCGCAGGACGAACACGGCATCCTTCATGCCTTCTGGGCTGCCAGGACCCAGGATTTAGGCCGCCTGCCCAAGGATGTCCCAATCCTGTTGCTAGCTGACGCTAACTCCCGCCTAGGTAGCCTTGAGAGCGAAGCTGTCGGGTCGCATCATGCAGAAACCGAGACCCCTGCCGCTGCCCACTTTCACAGCTTCCTTCTGCGCAATGGGTTGTGGCTTCCAGCTACCTTCCCAGAAGCGCACCATGGCGCCTCCTGGACATGGCAATCCCCTCACGGAGACCAGCACCGCATCGACTATGTTGGCATTCCCCAGTCCTGGGCCCGTTTTGTCTGTCGTTCTCGGGTGTGGCACACCTTTGAGGCTCTGCAGAAACGGTGCGACCATCTGCCTGTCATCCTTGAGTGCACTTTTGCACGAGAGGGTCGGTCGCATACCGCCGATGCCTTTCGCCGGATCGCCTGTCGCCCCAATGACCTTGACCCCGATGTGGATCGGCAGGCTTTTTCCCAGGCCGTACACTCTGCCCCACTTGTTGCTTGGACTGCGGACGTTGACAGTCATTTTGCTTCCTTTGTGCAGGTCTGGACGGCTGCCGGGCGCAGTGTCCAGCCCCATTCCCCTGCCAGACCCCAGCAGAGCTTCCTCACCGCACATACGCTTGGTGTTATCAGAGCCCGCAAGGACACTCGCATAGCCCTAAGGGTTGCGGAAAAGGAGCTCCAACGGCGCCTTCTTGTCACCGCGTTTGCTGCCTTTACCCACTCCAGAGCAGGTTCACTGCTTACTGCCACTGATGTTGCTGCTACGTGGCACTGGGTTAGACAAGCCAATCAACGGCTCGCCGTTACATGGGGTCAACTCAACCGGCTTGGCACCGACGTTCGCCAGGCTGTCAAGACTGATCGCTGCCGCTACCTCGAGAAACTTGTCTCCGAGGTCGGACAGGCAGATATGCGTGATCCGCGCCATCTCTACCACTGTGTCCGGAAGGCCTTTCCCAAGGCTGCATCGGCTAAGCGGTCACGCTTCACGCCGCTCCCAGCGGTAGCACTCGCTAACGGCGAATTGGCTACCACCAGAGCAGAGCGTGCTGCTCGGTGGAATGGCCATTTCGCCGCCCAGGAATGCGGCGAAACTGTCACTCCTTCTGCCTATGCCCAGCAATTTGCTGCGGATGGTCAGCACCGTGCCACTGTTGTGCCGGCTTTTGATCCCCTTCTGCTTCCCTCTCTTGGTGAACTAGAAGGGTCGGTGCTCCAGCTCAAGAGAGGCAAGGCTGCTGGCCCGGACGGTGTCACGTCCGAGTTGCTCAAATTAGCGGTACCGACTGCTGCGCGCCAGCTGCTACCTCTCTTTGTCAAAAGCTTACTTACCCTGCGTGAGCCTATTGAGTTCAAAGGAGGAGCTTTGATGACATTAGCGAAGAAAGCGTCCGCCGCCTTCGAGTGTGACAAGTATAGGAGCATCCTCCTATCTAGCGTGCCTGGGAAGCTACTGCACAAAAGCCTGAGAAAGCGCATTACGCCCCTCCTCCGGCGGGTTGGCCATGACCTCATGGGCGGCGTCCACCCAGGGGTAGGAGTGGATTCAATAGCTACTGCTGTGCGTAGTTTCCAAGCGCACGCTCATGCCCTTGGTGAGCACCCAGCTGTTGTATTTTTTGATGTTCGTGCGGCTTACTACCAAGTAGTGCGAGAGACCCTTACCGGCGCCACTCCAGATGACTTTGTCATCCGGTCTCTTTTTCACAAGCTTGGAGTACCGCCCGCGGCCCTCGAAGAGCTCCGTGATCACCTGACTAGTCTTAACCACATTGCAGACGGGGGTGGCTCCCCGCATCTCGAGGCTGTCACACGCGAGTTATTCCGTGGGACGTGGTTCAGGCTCGATCAGCACGCGGAGTTAGTCGCCACCGCGGCAGGCGTCCGCCCTGGCGATCCGCTAGCAGACGTGTTCTTTGCCCTGAGTTTCAGCGCCTATATCCGTTCTGTCCAGACTTCCTTGCAGCGGGAAGCCCTTGTTACGGTGCTGCCTCCTTGTGTCACACGCCTGCCGGTCGATGGGCTCGCCGACGCCCGGGACCTGCCGCCCGCCTCATGGGCCGACGATTTCGCAGCCATGATGTCAGCGGCAAATCCCCCTCAGGTTGTGAGCAAGGTTCGTGCCACCACTTCGGCCTTTCTTACCCATGCCACCTCCATCGGTATGCAGCTCTCTTTTGCTGTCGACAAAACCGCGGCACTTCTACCGCCTGCCGTCTTATTTGCCGGCGTGTGTGACCCGCCGCCTTCTGGCGCTGCTTACTCCCATGCCATACCCGTTCATGACGGTGTTTCAGGGTGTGTGGTGCATCTGCCAGCTGTCCAGGCATACAAGCATCTCGGCGGGATCGTTACCTGCTCTGCATCCCTGCTCCCCGAGATTTATTACCGTTACTCGCAGTGTACCTGGACTTTGCGCCCGCTGCGGGGTACCCTCTTTGGCAATCCCAGTATCCCACTCCCGCTGCGGCGTACGCTTCTTGGCTCTCTTGTTGCCACCAAGTTCACCTACGGCTCTGCAACTATGGAGCTGCACGTCGCCTACCAGTGGCGATTATGGGCCAGATTGTATACTTCCATCTGGAAGGCCTTGCAACCACGGTCGTGTTCTGCCTGCAAGATCCACTCATACGAAGTCTTGCGGCAGGCCCAAGCACTTGCTCCCCCTCTTGCACTTGCCAAGGCCAGGGCCAGTCTATACCTTCGGGTGTTAGAGCATGGACCCCAGACCCTCCTGCATTTATGGTGGCTCCAGTGGGAGTCCTCTCCAGAGCGCTCATGGCTGGCCATGCTCAAAGGCGATATTGAGTATGTGGCCATGTATTGCCCCGCAGCGAAACTGGTCTTGGACTCCCCCTGCCCCTTACTTGCGTTGACTGAGGCCATGCTCCAGGATCGCACATGGTGGCGCCGGCAGATCAATGCTGCCACACGCATTTATTTTGCCGACCTCGAGCGCTGGGCACGACTTCGTGCCGAGCCGACCGGGCAGCTGTCACCCTCGCCTCTGCCTGCTGAGGCTGACTTTCAATGCCCGTTCTGCTCTGCCAGCTTTCCGCTCAAGAAACACCTGAGTGTTCACATCGTTCGCCGCCATGGCTTGCCAGCTCCCAAGCGTCTTTTCGCGCCTCACGCTACCTGCCTCGCCTGCCTCAAGCACTTCCACACCATTCCTCGTGCGCAAAACCATCTTAGGAGTGTCCCTCGCTGTCTTGCCCGGGTGCATCTTCTGATGCCGCCGTTGGATTTACCGGCCGTGCGCGCCATTGAGCAGGCAGACCGCGCGCACCAAAAGCGCCTACGTACAGGTTGTTGGCAGGCCTTCGATGCCAACCAACCGGTGTTACAGGCATATGGCCCGGCCCAGCCTACGCGCGCTGAACTGCTCAGCGCGCTAGGGGAAGATGCCCCGATCTCCCTACTGGTTCAGCCTCCGCAGAACCCCGCGTTTGCGGCATGGGTGTGCAGTGACCTCCACACCCGCACACGAGAACCGCCACGAGCAGGAACGCGTAGTTTCTGGTGGAAGCGTATCCAGTAGATTCCCGTTTCACTGAATTCATTGCTACGGATGCGTCTGTCGACTCTGCAATCCGCCGAGAAAAAAAAATCGTATTCTTATTCTTCTTTTTCTTCTTCTTATTATTGTTATTATTATTGTTATTATTGTTATTATCATTATTATTATTAGTATTATTATTATTCCTATTATTATTATTATTATTAGTATTCTTAATATTATTACTATTATTATTATTATCATTATTATTAATATTATGATTATTATTATTATTATTATTGTTATTATTGTTATTATTGTTATTATTGCTATTATTATTAGTATTATGGTTATGATCATGATTATGATTATGCTTATTATGATTAATATGATGAATATGATGATTATTATTATTATTGTTGCTGCTGCTGCTGCTGCAAGTGCTGCTGCTGCAGCTGCTGCAAGTGCTGCTGCTGCTGCTGCTGCAAGTGCTGGTGCTGCTGCTGCTGCTGCTGCTGCTGCTGCTGCTGCAAGTGCTGCAAGTGCTGGTGCTGGTGCTGGTGCTGCTGTTGTTGTTGCTGTTGGTGTTGTTGTTGCTGTTGTTGTTGTTGTTGTTGTTGTTGTTGTTGTTGTTGTTGTTGTTGTTGTTGGTGTTGTTGTTGTTGTTGTTGTTGTTGTTGTTGTTGTTGTTGTTGTTGTTGTGGTTGTTGTTGTTGTTGTTGGTGGTGTTGCTGTTGCTGTTGCTGTTGCTGTTGCTGTTGTTGTTGTTGTTGTTGTTGTTGGTATGATTGCTGTTGTTTGTGTTGTTGTTGTTGCTGTTGTTGCCGTTGTTGCTGTTGTCGTTGTCGTCGCTGTGGCTGTTGCCGTTGCCGTCGTTGTTGTTGCTGTTGTTGTTGTCGTTGACGTCGTGGTTCTGGCTGTTGTTGTCGTCGTTGTTACTGTTGCTGTTGCTTTTGCCGCTGCCGCTGGTATGGGTGGTGATCGATAGTGATGCTGCTGCTGATGATGATGATGATCACGGTCCATCAATGACCACGATGATGGCGACACCGATGCCGATAACGATCTTTGTTGTTGGCGGTGCTTCAAAGAATGCGGAGGCCGTCTATCTGGGAGTTTCGGAAGCTTAGGGACTCAAAGTACAAACCTAAAACAGTAGGATCCTTGACTTACTATATACGCCACGGTCCCCCTCAGTTTAAGAGCCCCCCCGCCCCCCCCTCCGCCCATCTTGAAGACAGCAGGCTTTTGACCGTGGCCTCACACACCGGGACGACTGCGAGGATCTGCCCGGGCTGTCAGCGCAGCAAGGTTCCGAACCTAAGGGCAACAAACGCTCAGCATTGCGGAAATACCTGGCGTCTTCATGGGTTGCTATAATCATGACGGAGTGTCCTTGGGCAGAGACATATCCCGGTACTCCAGTTCTCCGACATGTTTTAATGAGGGGTGGCGAAGTCGGTATTGCCAAACTCGGATATTGAATCGGGCTTGTGGCTTTCACAGCTGGATCTGTTGCAAAGACCCTGAAGTCCAGGCTCCAGGCTCTTGGGATTCAGCATGATGTACAACTTGTTGAGAGTTTGGTATGTGCGTCTGCGGATGTTGGGTCTTGAACTCCGAACCAAAGACCTGCATCTCTGGCAATAAGCAACAACAAGACCTGATGCGCTGTCAACCCTACAGTGTTACAGGCTCAAGCCTAAAACCCGCTGTCCGTCAACCTGCGACCTTGACCCCTGGCACGAAACCTTGACCTTCGACCTTCAACCCTTCTCAATCCTTTACGTACCCTGCAGCTGCAGCCTGGAATCCCAAACCGAAAAATACCCTCTGATCCTGGATCCATCCTCAGTCCAACGCATCTGGAATCCAAACCCGGAACTTGAGGACGGCTCCACACGTCTCGAAGTCGCACTGCTTGCCAAACAGTATAGTGCAGTCAGCTTACTCCTGGAACCCTCCTCATAGTACAACTCTCTCCCAGACCCTACATGGTACCATCTCTCCCAACCCTCCGACCGTTTCGACTGCAGAGCCGTGCTCCACGGAAGCTGAGTTCTGGGCGGAAGACCCATAAGCCTGCAAATAGGGAACCCTAAACCCCAAATCCTTAGCCGTAAGCCCTACTTACATGTGTTGATCCACCACCTGCCTATCTTTACCCATCCACCGATCTAGCCAGCCAGCTAGCTAGCTATCTTCGGTATACAGATGTGTAGAAATATGGTTACATACATACATATACATATACATACATACATACATGTATATGTATTCTACATGTAATATACTGTGTATATATATATATATAGAGAGAGAGAGAGACATTATCTGCATATGGATACAGAGACACCCACCCTATTTCAGCCCTCAAACCAACAATTGTGCCGAAAGCACTGAGTTTCTGCAGAATTTCTGATTTGGCAACGCTTAAGTTTCGTTTTCGAAGGGACGGCTTGAGGTCCTTATCTGGTTGTCGAGGAATCAAGAGGGCTTGGCATCCAGGCTTTAGGGCTCACACTTGGGGGCTTTTTCAGGGAAGGCCATCAATTTTGAGCTGAGAGTTTCGGGGTTCCGGAGGCTTATGGGATTATGGCGGATGACGGTTCAGCGAGAAGGGCTTGGGGACAGGAGTCTCAGTTGGACCACGAACACTGCACAGGAGAATCCTAACAGAAACAGTGGTTGTCGAAGAGGCAAGATGATAGGAGTATTGATCCCTAAACCCTAAACCTTGACTCCGAACCCCAGACCTAAGCTCTAAACTCAAATCTGGAAACCCTTTGAGGAATTATGGGGTTTAGGATATCAGGCTTTTAGGTGCGTATGCTATCGGGCCGCGCTATGCAACCAGGAATCCTCCTAAACCTCGCAGCCCTAAACCCGTCATACTGACTAAACACATGATGAGCTCCAAGGTGTTTGAAGGTCACACTGCGTGTGGATACCGGAAAATGACTTAAATGTTCCAACCAGTACATCCTGGACTCTTAAGTCCTATGAAGCTGCAGGCCATGCCTTCTCATGGCCTTCATGTGCGGTCGTTTCATCTTCGACCTGGCAAGCTTCATCCATAATGAGGAACAACTATATATGTTCTATATGTCTAAAGTCTCTGCAAGCGTCGATGCGATTCGGCAACTCCCATTGTGAAAAACTGCCATCAATGGGAAGGGTACGTCCTAGGGTCGGTCTAGCTTTTGTTTTGTCTTGACGGGCTCCTAGCCTTTAAACAACGAAACCATGACTTCTGGAAGCTGCCCAGTACAGAAGTCTTTCAGAAGTGCCACATCTCTACCTCCATGCACCAAGCCCTCTCGCCTCGCGAAGCAACGTTTCGCGCTCGGCCTCGTAGACGCTCAGCTGCTGTAGAAGACCTGGTTCCCCCAAGCCATCCCCACTCCCAAAGAACATTTGCCTCTTTTTGGCCTGGGGTTCGGGGTCCTGCAAATGTAAACCCAAAGTTTTAGGGCTTACAGGATTCAGGGCTGGGTGACAAGCTCGTATAGCACTCAGGTCAGAAACCTGTTAACTGGGAGCTCGCGCTGCTCCAAGAGGAACACGATATGACAACCATATTACCAAGGGGCAGCATATGGGATTGTACTATACTGCACTATGCTACTAGTATACGGTGATGTATGATGTCTTGTTCCAACATTACGCTGAATTATTTTCAGCTGCCGTGATCACTAGTAAGGACAACAACGGTCTGTGGGATGTGATGCTGGCTTTGCTGGTGTGGTCTCGGAGGCATGCCACAAACCCTCTCTCGCAAGTCCGATCTCCTCCTATTACCCCCCTACTGGTCGGGCATCATGGGGAAACTAAGGTTGACCTTCTTGGCTATATAGGGATGATATAGGGGCTATACTACCCAAGAAAGTTTAAAGGTTACCTACTCTACTACTACGTACCCTTATCAACGAGACCATTCGTGCTCAGACGGCCTGAGCTCTCGGAGTCCCACCTATACCAAAACCTCGTCACAAATGGTATAAAGTTTCACATCCCCGAAAGCCCTTCATTGTGCCAAAGCGGGCCTCTGCACGACTCCTCCAAGAAGACATTGGAGTCTCGGGTCTCCTTCTCCAGAACAGCCCTAAAGACTGGAGAGCATGAACTCTGCGTCCCTGAAACCCTTGGGAGTTCCTCTGCTTTCTGGGACTTCGGGGTTTGGACCTTGGGATGTTGGGCATGTGCTGAAAGAGGTCCTACGTTGTGCAACGAAGTGCTAGGTCCACGAGTCAGCCTGGAGTCGTTCAAGACAAGCCGCACCGCAAACTCGAGCGTGGAGCTTCATGGCGGTTGGGTGTATGATATATGGGAGTTTCCGAAAAAAGGGGACCCTAACACAGTACCCGAAATAGTAGGATCCTGGACCCCAAAATATGGTACGCCTATAATTATTCTGGAAACTCCCATATCAATCCCGGGCCCGAAGGTCACTTGGTGGTTTAAGGCAAGGCAGTCGACAACAGCTGTCGCAGGTCGCGCCCTTGCACTCCCCGCCTCCAAAGCTCGCGCTTCTTCGTCGAGCACCTCTCGAGACAATCCAAAACATATCTCGGAGCCCAAGACTCCCTGTAAAGCCGAAACCCCAACTCTTCGGATTCAACAGGGAACGGCCAAACCCTGGAGCCCGTGAGATGTCGATTCACAGCCCCAACTCCTCTTAGACCATCGGTACGGAACTTCCTAGGTCCTAGGATCTCATCTATCTTCCCGGAGCCACACAGAAGCCAATACTACCATTGCCGTTGCTGCTGCTGCTTTTGCTGGCCTGATTGGGAACATTGCTATCAGTAATTCTCCAAGGATCGTTGCTGCTACGGCGATCAGTGATATGACTTGCAGCCGCACGAAAGGAATGAACCGCATGACGTGCGAAGTACTTACAGATCCATGCCACCCCGTCAAGTGTTTCTGACTTGGCGAGCTCAACTGGTGGTTAGGCTTCAGCGCACCTGGTCCAGCAATGGTACCAGAAACTTCTTGGTCCCTGCTGATATTCACACATGCTTGGCCTAATTAAACCCTAACCCTGTAACACCTAAACCTAACCTTTGAAAGCCCTGCACCCTCAAATCTTGTTACTACCCCCTGAGCCCGAAATCCCCGATCGCCTGCTCCAGAAGTTGCCGCGATTTTGCAGCGCGCTCCTGCCCAACAGTCCGGGGTCTGCGTGCTGCATGTGGCCCTTGCGCTTCGCCGGAGGCCTTTTGCCACGGTTGGCCTGCAAATACTGCAGCTTAAACCTGAATTCGGGCGAGGTTGTGCTGATTACAATGACGCTACTGCACTCAACTGGCCTTGTAATTAGTCATATTTCCATGGTCACATGTGTATATGTAGACAGACAAACAGACAGACAGGCAGACATACATACCTGCAGACAACACACCTGCAGACATACAGATACACATACACACATGCATGCAGACAAACTTTCCCAACTTACCCCACCCCCGACCAAGGCCCCATAAGCTTCCTTGTCAACCGCGCCGCTACAGAAGAGCTCAGTGAGCTGGCGCCGCTCCTGGCATGTAGAGAAAAACTACAGCACGGCTTATAAGGCCAATCCTCAATCATGTGACCTCTCGGAAAATTCTCGTGAACGGAGGGACTCGCCCATGCTTCTTGAAACTTCAGCTCCGTGTTTTAGATTGAACACCAGCAACACTGAAAAGTTTTGGTGAGCTTTCGACAACTCTAATGCCTGAAACCTGGCCTTCTACATCCTTGGTCCTTGAGGCCTATATGCCCCAAGATCCACTCCCTGGTCCACAAACCTGTACAGCCCTCTAAACACTAAACCTGAAACACGAGATGCTGGCCAAAGCCTCAGTCAGTCTCTGCAGCTGCTCTTTGGCTGCATGGATTTGCCTCGGGGACAGGGACAGACATGGAGGCCTGGGCTGGGCGGTTGGTGTTTAGTGTTTCAGGCTGGACCCGCACAAATTCGCAACACCAGCCTGGAAGCCCAGAGAATTTTCGAACATGAACCCAAACCCTTGCCTCAAAAACCCTAGGCGCTAAAGTCCCAAACGCTTACACATCCAAGAAGCGCCGCATTGCAAGTTGTTAGAATCAATGATGAAATCGATATTATGGTATGACCTTGGGTCCCGGACCCTTCCAGGGAGCGCTCGAGGTCCGTCATGCGCTGCTGGCGACATTGTTTGAGGACTTTGTTAGGGAAGATGAAGACTGTATTTCGGAAAGGGGCTGTCATCCACTGCAATCCCTCACCCACCCCAAAATTCGGCGAATAGAGTCAGCCCTTTCTTTACCAACCTATGCAGTGGGCTGGAAAGCAAACCCTTGAAGAGATGAGCATACGAACAATGATGCACTGCACATGCTACAATGAACCGGATAAGATCTTTGCTTCAAGCTAAGCCACCAAGCATGAACGATGTAATTATCCTGATTCGATGTTAATGGCCACTGATCTTGCGGTAGGAACAACGGCGCCTGGACGTCGAAGGCTTCTTTGGCCTGGCAATTGTCAGCACCCCGATGTCAAAAGTCGAGGTCTGGGGTTCATGGCTTTGAGCAGAGAGCGGACGTCGCTTCAAGTTCTACGAAGTGGGATTGAGGCTTTCTTTACGATTTCGTTGCAGGGGCTTCCGAGCTGCTAGGACTTGTCTGCGCCCGCCAAAAAAATGATCGCAACCCTTGACCTGCAATCCCCAACGGCAAAAATCCAAGACCCTAAACCCACAAAGCCAAAAACCCGCCAAGCGTCGAGGTAATAAGCATTTACAGCTATGAAAACACCTGCCCACCGGACCTGCATCCGCGACAGCACAAGGTCCTGCGCAGAAGTCGTTCATACATCTTCTCAAGTTCGGTCAGTATAGGCTTGAGGTCACGATGCTTGTCAAACACGTCACCGTACCACTACCAAAGCTAAAGCCCTACAGCCTTACGTGTAAGCCCTAACTAGAATAGACTGGCATGTAACTAAGGAGAAAAAAGCCGAATGTTGAACAATGGATCATGGATGATTGGTGGTACTGCTGATGGACAAAATGCTTCAATGTCCAGAGGAAGAAACGTGTACCATAGTTGGGTGCATGACTAAACCCTAATAGCCCCAAACCTTAGACGATGTCGCGCGCTTGTAGCGCACTTACGCAGCGGTCCTGCTGAGCTTGCTGAACTTGCGTCTCCAGCGGCCCAGCCTTCGAAACAGCACTCCCATGGGTTTCGAGGTTTGGTTAGGTCTTGGGTTCAGGGATAAGGGTCTGGTGTCTTGGGGGTTTCAACGTGGTCTACAGCAGGTTCTGGCGGGGTTGTCTGCAGGCTCAGAAACACACTCGTCAGAATTCTATTCTGGACTTTCAATGTCTAGCCAGAGTCTAGTCTGACATAAAGCACAGCTTACCTGCCGGTCTGTGTAGGTTACGAAAAAAGTATTGAGCTCGTTCTTCAATGACCCCGATGAAACACTATATGAATTATATACTTCCCTAAACCCCCCAAAGTAGATAAAATAATGGCCCAATACCCATAAAAGGCTATTATTCTACATACTTTTGGGGTCCAGGGATCTTGATGCGAGCTGAACCACTGCCTTGTAAAGGGCTTCAGATGCATTTCAGGGGCCTCAAAAGGTGGGATGAAGCTAGGTGGGGTAACTCCAAAATAAGAGTCCTTATATAAGGGATCCTTAATCCTACCTACCTTCATCATAAGAGTCCTTATATAAGGGATCCTTAATCCTACCTACCTTCATCCCACCCTTTGAGGCTTCAGATGCATTTCGGCCTCAAGCTCGAGGCGGTTTGCCAGCGTCCGGTCTGCCGTCACTTCGGCCGCAAGCTGCCTGGGAGTTTCCGAAAATTAGGGGTACTTTGTTTTGGGGTCCTCATAATAAGGATCCTACTATTTGGGGTACTATGTTAGGGTCCCCTATTTTTGGCGAAGGGGAGGACACATAGGGTCTGCTGGGAGGAGTTAAGGACTTTCAGGGTTCAGGGTTCAAGGTTACGGCTGGGGCGAAGGGCAGGACATAGAGGGTCTACTGGGGAAGGGAAGAGTTTAGGGTTTAGGGTTGGAGAGGCGTAGGACTTTAAGGGTTCAGGGTTCAAGGTTAGGGTTGCTGGGGTTGTAGGGTTCAAGGGATTCGTGCAGGACTTAAAGCGTGTATAAAGGGCTTAAAGCGTAAAGTTGAGAAATTAGATCGAGCAGGTGCTAAGTTTTACGCATGCGGAACGAAGGCTTGACACCGCACTCACATGTTCCAAACCTATAAATAATCTTAAGGCGCTCACCAGCCGAGCCCGGAACCCATGCGCATGAGCGGCAATTCAAGTTTCGGTCAAAGCAGGCCAGTGCTGAACCCTAGATTCTGTCCCCCGAAAAATTTCAAGAACTCGAGACCCATAAACCCGCCCTCCTTAAACAACGCCCTAAGCCCGAAATCCATGATCATAAACTGCCATAAACCTTTTCAAGGCCTCCTAAAGAGGCACCAAAAGAACAACGCCGTAGCCTCGAGAGCAGCGCCAGGTCGGGTCGCTCCGGCTCCGGCGCTGCGTGCGGAACGCCGGGCCAGGGGAGCCCGGGTCCTCGAAGCCAAAGAAAGGCCGTAATGAAGCGAACAGTAATGATAGCAATATGGAAAGCAACAAGAATGAAACTATAATGACAAGAAGAATCGATAAAAATAGTGATAAGAAGAAGAATAGTCGTAGTGTTAAATTTGGGGCATGGGTTCAAAGTGCAGCCTCAATAGTTCGAAGAGGAGCGTCTTATAGGTCTCTATATCTCTACGAGTTTGTCGGGTGCCACTTAGATTCGAGTATTGAGTGAAGGATCGCAAGGCGTTCAAACAGCGGGGCCTTGACAAAACGGAGCCTCTAAGGGTTCTACAACAGCTACGAAACGTCGGGGTCTGCCTGGCCCCTCCAAAACCAAAAGCTCCTAAACACCAAACTTCTAAATTCTGAAGCCCAAGAACCCAAGTATGGACTCTTGGGCCTCCGAAGAACCCAGGGATCAACTCAGAAGTAGACTCTTGTGGATAATGGCATCCGAAAAAGAGTCCCTGACTCGGGTCCTGGGGAGCTCGAAAGCGAGAGCATCGAAGCCCTGGCCTGGCAGGACATGACCAAAGCTTGGAGCCTTTACCTAAACCCCCCAAAGTAGGTAAAATAATGGCCCAATACCCATAAAAGGCTATTATTCTACATACTTTTGGGGTCCAGGTAGGCATGAATCACTACGGCTGATGTTCAAAATCCTGCATTACCCATAATAAGGAATATGTCATAATTCCCATAGTTTAGGGTCCTTGGGGCAATGCAGGATTCTGTACATCAACAGTATCACCACGAATCACCACCATGTTCATCACCGCATTAATTATTCTTCATATTCTTGATGCACTGCGTTGGCCCCGGCAAAACCATCTTCGTTGTTGCTGTAGGCCCTATTGGTCCAACTTCTGATGCAACACGCCCCGTCCAGCATGTCGGGATACTGCAGACGTGACTAAACACAGCAAGTTGTGGCCAGAGAAACAGAACATACTGAACTGCCACTCCGAAGTCCTGGCTTGCATTGCCTGTGGCACGGAACAAGCAGATTCTTTCCGCAAAATCCGAGTCCCATCACCGAGCTTGCCTCTGGTCGCAGCCCGGCTCAGCCTGCTTAGCCTACGGAGTCAGACAGGGTGAAACTGGAAGCTCCGCGCACCTCCTCCAGGCCAGCAGTGCATGAGGGAGAGCAGGTTAGGATGAGAGATACCGAACCCTTACTCTGCAAGAGCAAACTGTATCTATGCCGTCTGCTCCCGCGTTTAGGGCTGGCTTTAGAGCTTATAGACTTGGCTGTCTATATGCGCATGTTGTAGCGCTTCCATTTTCTGCCCCGGCACGCGTCCCTGCTTCGCCGGAGTAGAATGCGCAGCTGACCAAGTTGCCAGACTGGCATGTTTGAGAACTTCGAGAAATGTGCCCATGCACCTCGAAAGCAGGGTTGGATGATCGAAACATGCTAGGTTCGACTTCGGATACGCCACTCTTGTCTAGTCTCGTCACGGCTCCATGCTGTGCTTTCCTCCCTGGAACATGAGCAGAGAGATGATCAAACTTGCTACCAAGTCTCAAGTTGAAAACCCTATATACAAAAAACACGTTACCAAGTCAGAAGTTCAAAAACCCTATATACAATAAACCCTTGAACCTGAAATTAAGACCCTAAGCGCTAGACCCTAAACCGGGAACCCTAAACCCTGGACCCTAAACCCTAAACCCTAAATTTTGGACTCCGAGACCCTAGCCACCCACACTTTCCGAGGGCCAGCCTTCGTGGCCGGCGGGGCACGAAGCGAAATGACAAATTGCTGCAGATGGCCAGCCAGCCGAGGAGTTGATCCGAATTAGAGCTTGGTCTCATTTGTGTTTATGATGTAAAGTTGCGGGTTGTGCTGAAGGCTTTTAGGGCTTTCTAGGGCAGAGCATTCCACGAATGACCGCGACCGCCCTTGTCAGGATATCAACCCATCGGGTCTGTGTCCAAGGTTTGGGTGTCTCTAGGGCCTAAAGTCGAAATTCGAATCTTCAGCCCAACACCTCTTCCCATGGAGGTGTGAACCACTATAGTCGGTAGCATACTGTACCATTCGTGCCCTACAGTCCCTGCATATATGGATATGTCTGATGTGTCAACAGCATCCCCAAAACCGGTTTCTAATGAGTAAGATAGGGGCCGTAACGATTAGAATGGGGCTTTGGGGCTCCTTATACTAGAATCAGAATAAGGAAGCACCAAAGTAGTTTAGGTAATTATTTAAGCCCCTATAGTAAGGCCCTACACTCTCGACCGTGCCGGAAGCCGCCCGCAGCCGCAGTTCCCTGAGGGCTTTGCCCGAGGATCTGACAAAAACTTCGAAACGGACCCAGGTCTTGGGATGGGGGGGGGGGGGGGGAAATGTCGCAGAAATGTTGGAGGGGCCGAGGGTTGGGGGCGCAGGGCCTTATTTAGAATCGGGTTCTTACTGTTAAAGAAGAGGGGTTTCAGGGCCGCGATAAATAGTCAGAAGAGGGCCTTGGGATGGGTGTAATACCATAGTCTGAACAAGGATCCACAAAGAATAGCACTACTATGTCCTGAGGCTCTGCAACAAGTCTGTGAGTTCTGGATAAGGGGGCTAATAGTCCCCAATTTTGCCTTTTGCACAGCTACCCTCTGCACAGGACCAGAAAGGACATTGAACACCTTGGGCACAGGTTTGTTGATAATCGATTCTTCGGCTGTTTAAGGGTTCCACACAAATCTCTTGTCTTTTCACTCACGGGCAATGAAGGTTCGGGCTTGGGGTTTCTTGAGAGGCGTGGGTACTTGCCCCAGGTCCCTTTCAGCAAGAATTACAATGTATCCGGAAAACAGATCAGTGCTCTCTTCGGTTGTCATACCACTGTAAGGTGTACGAGGACAGTGGCATTGCCAAGATTGTTCCGTCACACAGGATTGGAGGCCGCAGGAAGCTGCTATGATGTTGGTGTGCGGGAATTATGCGGGGCCCCATCAGTAGATGGGGAACTCCACCTAAGGAACCCGGATCAAGTGCTGGTTCGCTCCGACCAATTTCAGAACCAGCTGTGTCAAAACCAACTCTAGTAACTCCGACTCATGCGCACTTGTTGCTCATGACTCATGTCAATGGCTTGATACGAGCACCTCGCACCTGCAAAGCCACGAAGTCTTCTGAGAACACTTCTGTCATCATCCCCATTTTTTCTGTTAGGCGCTCCGCCCTCAGTTCTGCAAGTGCAAGGCCAAGGCGGCTGCAGCAACCTCGCTCTGGGTGGGGGTCCCTTTAGGGTTTCGGGTTTGCAGCGCCCTGTGCAGCCTGAGAAATCAACTAAATCGCGGCTAGTCTGGAAGACCTTGCGTCGCAGGTACCTCACACATAGGGTGCATTGTAACCCCCCACAACCCGAACATCACCGCGAACTTCGATCTTTGAACTCATAATTCCTTCTGGGCCCCCAGACTGCAAGCCTCTATGAACCCAAACTTTCCGAGCTCTGAAAAGCCACTTAAGTAAGTTCCAAACAAATCAACATGGGAACCTTTGACAAACGCGCAAACGCTGCTTTGGTTCATAATATAGACTTAAGCCCTATACCTCCAACTATACAGGCCTAAACTCAAGCCCGATGGGTTCCGTGTTTAGAACATTTTAGAACTTAAACTTAAGGTCGGTGGATCTGAGTAGTACTTGCTGAGGCCTCTGTGCATAGCACTGTTTCTAACTGTGCTGCTGAGCGGCACAAAGCAGGGTCGCAAACCTCGCTCTGGGCTGTGCGAAGCTGACGCCAGTGGGCTCCTGGTCGTTGGGCCGGGTCTAATGATTCGAGAATTGCTTGATTCAGACCGGAAGGTGCCAGGACAGCGCCTTTCGGTTGCTTGCAGGGCAAATCTAACGAATGGGGTGGCTTGTTGCCTCTGACCTTGCATCTACGGCCTTCCATGGCATACTCTGCTGCCTGCCTGTCAGTGCCTTCGACACCCCCACGTGTAGACCCTATCCCTCAAGTTACCTGACTCCGAATCCCTGAACCGTGATAACCTTAAACCCACACTAAAACGTAACTTTCTTTTCTTCGTGGTAGGGGACTTGTTTGGAATGCAACCTAGCCTATAGGATTTTGGGGTGTTTTGCGTTTAAGACTTCTTCGGTTTCAGTCAGGGCTTACGGGGCTTAGGGAAGTTTAGAGCCCTTAGGGTCTAAACCTGGAAGCCTCTCACCCCTAAAGCCGTCTCTGAACCCCTGAACCGTGCAGTCCTTATATAACCCTAAACAAAGAAGCAACACCCTAAACCCTAAATCCTATAAACCCCAAACTCCCTCCCCCTAAACTAAACCGAGCAGGCTGCAAAATTCAAAAGGAGCTCCTGCGGCAGAGTGGATGTGGTCGCCGCGAGAGCTCTGAAGACCTGGCAGGCCAACATGCTACACACCGGCTAACAAACAAGCACAGATACACAGATATAGAGTCATGGAGAGAGAGAGAGAGAGAGAGAGAGAGAGAGAGAGAGAGAGAGAGAGAGAGAGAGAGAGAGAGAGAGAGGGACGACAGAGAGATGCATACATAGACAGATAGATAGATAGACATAGCTACGGTAGGTATGTAGATAGATAAACAGACAAATAGACAGATAGATAGCTATGGAATGTGTAGGTAGCTAGATATCTAGATGGCCAGATAGAGAGAAAGATAGATGGATGGCTGGGTCGATATGGATAGATAAGATAGAAAGATGGAAACTAGATGGGCAAGTAGACACGGACTTCAAGGGGGCACACCATAGACACTCCCAGCACGGATCCCGGGAGAACACCAACCCCTGGAATCCTACGAACACCGAGCACTGCATCCGCTGTCCTCGAGCGACCCATCAGGAGCGCTGATATCGATGCCGAACTGGGATTCCTTGTTCGGAGGCTGAACAGCCGAATTCATGAGGACTTGGGCAATTCATCTACCGCTTGATTTTGGCTGTTGGGAGGTGATGTCTTACAAGTGGGATTTCCTGAAGGTGCGCATTGCGGCTAAGGGACGGTAGACCTTGCAGTGTTCAATCATTCAGCATAGCCACGGGGCTTTTGGGAGACTGCAGGGGTTGGGTTTGGGAACCCCGCCGTGGTGTAAATAAGCTTCCAACAACAGGATGAAGGGATCTAGGACGAGAGGGTTGCTTTACGACGAGAGGGCTGCTTTGCATTAGGGTCTCGCCGCGTTGTCCCACGCAAAAATCAGAAATCCTACATGTTCCAGGAAGCGTCATCCGGAGGAATATGGAAGCCTGAAAACGACGCAGATACTCGGAAAACCTCACCACAAAATCTGTTGCCAAGTATTCTGGCCTTTCTGGTGGGGCTCCGGGAACGGTCTCGGGTATTGGAGGCTAGTGACCGTTAGTTTTGCAAACCAGCTCAACAAGCCAGATTGCTTGAAGGTTCGACAGTTCACACCTCCGACACGACGTGTGGGAGCTTTGGGATACCCACTCTAGTCGAAAAGTTCAAAAAAGGGTACAGTGTCCATAACCCTTTGAAACGCTAGGCACATATATCCTCTAGTCCCGGAAGCCCTGAGTCTCAAACCCGAATTAAAACAGTTCTCGGCTTGAGAGCCCGAAACCTCGAGACCAAACCCTCAAACATGACACCCCAAAGCCAGCGAAACCAAAAACCATCCATCATTGAACCCCGTGGGCCTATGGGCCCTGAACCCTAAAACCATAAAGACCCACAGCCCTACCTAAACCCTCACGTGCGCACTGCTTTGACCGGGCGGCATAGATCGACATCCGATGGCTGGGAAGGCCTTAACTTCGAGAAGAACTCTCGTCAAGACTGTGGTCACATCTGTTCCCCAAGGCCTGTCTATGCTTTCCAAGGGTTTCCTGCACAAAGACCAAATAATATCCGGTCTAACCTACCAGATCGATGTTGAGACGGAGAGTGGGTTCCATTCAACAGGCGAACCAGCCTCGAACAGGCTCCTTTGGACAAGGTGCGCGCATTCAAGGCCTGCGTCAATGAAACCAAGTTCAGCGACTCCTGGCGAGACTGCAGACTTTTGGATGTCCGTTTCGGGCATGGGATTCCCACACTAGTAATCTGGCTTTGTTTGACCGAAATATGGCGCCTTTCGGATGGAGTTGAGGGTGAGCCCGTCCAGGTTTAAAGTTTAGGGGTTCGGGGTATGCTATACACACTCCACCATATGATCCGTGGTGAACAGTTGTGACAAGTCGCTGCACAAAATGCCACAAAGTGCAACATTTGGTGAATTGCAGTGTGCCCTGACAGCTCGGTTTTCAGATTTCGGGTGGGTTCAAGTATGGGACTATGGCTCAACCTGAAGCTGTCAGGCTTCGGTTTCAAGATATAGCTGCTAGTATAGCTCAGCCGCAGTCTTGATTGAATGGCTCTGGGATTTAGATATACTAGCGTCCAAAGCCCAGGTCAAAGGTAAATGGTATACCCAGAACTGATAGCACCCTCTGCGCTCCCACAACAATTAGGCAACAGGGATCCCCGCGGAAGAAGGGAGGCGGCTAACAATCAGGGCTGCAGCGGTCATTGCCATCACAGGCCGATGATTGCACACAGTATTCGTAGCAAGAACTGCAAGTAAGCGTGGTACGCAATCTTGCAAACGTTCATCGCTATCAAAATGGCAAGGGCCCATCACCAAAGCGACACGACGGATAGGTGGTCATCAAGCGCGCACACACACACACACGGCCATCTTTGCAGTTATCATCGTCACGATTAAAAAAAGTTTTGCCATCGTGACCCCGGATCATCAGAATCATCATCCTTATCATCGTCGCCATCAGCTGAACCAGAAGAGAAACAGCAACGATGGCATCGAGACATCTCCCCAGTAAATCAAACTTGTCTATAGCCCAGTGGCAAAGGCTGTTGCAAGCTCATTCGCAACAACTCGGGCTTGTTGGCGGTCGCGACCTAGGGATGAAGAGCTTCAGGAGTCTCTTGATAGATTGTTGTTCCCGTGGTTGCATTCGTTAACGGCTGTCATTTCTGTTGCTAATGCTTCTATGGTAGTGTTTCTGTTGTTCAGCTAGACTCTAGACATAATTAAGCTCCATTAGCGAAGACGCAGCTTTTGGTGTGGAGGGAAGGCCTCCACCATCAGAACTTTGCTTCGTTACACATCATCTTTCAGCTCAACACCATTTCACACGGCTTCAGAGTGCCGCTTGCTGGCCTGCACCAGGTGTCGACTCCCCTAAACACATCACCCCTGAGGCACGAGCATCTTCAAGCACCGTAACTCTTATGTGATTTCGGGTGTAAAGAGACAAGGCAACAAGTGCGACGGGATGATTCGAAACAAAAGCTTTGCAAATGCACTGCATGCTCTCCATTTTGCCGGCAATCCTCGCCACCGGCAGGAGGTCTTGCGAGACAGACTGCGGTCGCAGCAGCAGGCAGCTCAAGAAGGGGCCCTGACATGATTTTTCTAGAAGGTTCCCTAAGCCTGAAACCCAAAATGTTCTCGAAATTACGTTCAGAATTACAGCTCGACTCCATGAAGGTTGCCATGTCTCTGTAAAGCTCGCCAGGGCCCCCGAAGGCAGTGTCTGGAAGGGCGGCAAAGCAGCCGATGTCCAAAAAGGAACTCTTCTACCTCCAAAAACTCCTCTCGCTGTCTCCACGACACACAACGACAAGGGTGAACTCCCTCCCGAAATTCGAATCTGCACCCGGCGCCTTCTGCACAGGGAACACAGAATCTCGAACCCAACTCTGCACTGCGAGCTTCAAAATGGGAATTGGTGCAGGCACTGCATATCCAAGCTTGCATCCGGGAGTCTTGCAGTTTTTCCACAGCATGTCCGACAAGTTGCTGCAAGAGCATCGGTTACACGAGTGCGACTTGCTGTCTGTGTGTTGCTTCTCAATCTGGACTTCCGATTGTGATGTCTTTCCTTGGCCACGGATATGTAACCTTGGAACACGTGCGCTGAACTCCGACGTGCTATGGCAACGACATGCTCAAACAGCTGTGTAGGCACTGGCCAGGGAGCCGTGCGCTCAGCTGCTTGAGGAGTTGCGGAACTCTGCGAATTCGTGGGTTTTCAGCACAGCTTTAGTACGCCGTGGAGCAGCGCTGGTGTGTGGGCTCAGTCCATGTACTCCCCGGCCGCAGTGTCCGGAATCGAGGCGCCGCCATCCATGGGATCGATCGAGTCCTTGCCCCTCATGCCCATGCCACTGCGACGCACCTGCGATTTCTTCTTGTGCCCCTTGCTCAGGATGCAAGATGGGCTGGAGAAGACGGCTACAGGCAAGTCCGGCTTGAAGACGATCTTCAGCACCTTGCACTCCGCGGGCTGAGTCTCTGCGCTGGTGAGTGCAACCGGCTCCCCCGAGTCGAGCATCACGAAGTCGCCCGGCTTCAGCTTCCCCGCGGGCATGTAGACGTGGCGGCCCGGCTCACCACTTTCATCGGGAATCTGCACAGGATGGTCCAGGGTCACCCGCAGTGTTGCAAGGCCCGCCTGCAGATCGACCACTTCAGTAGCCTGCCCTTCCTTCGAGATCTCGACCACTTCCAAAACAGTCTTGCCATCGCCAGCCAGGACTTGGGAACCTTTCTGGAGGTCCCTCCCCTCCCGGAAGAAGTCCATGCGGCTCTTGAAGATGGCATCCAGCATCAAGCAGTTCTGCTTCACGGAGCAGCAGGAAGACCTACTCAGGACGGAGGCGCCATCTTCATCTACAAGGCTATACCCCAACTGCTCAGCAAGATCTGACTCCTGATCACCGAAGACTGCGTTTCTGGAAGCCGGGGCGGGATGGTTCACGGAAGGATGACCTGAGATGCCACCCCCCAAACGATGGCTCTTTGTCTTGCTCTCAACAACTGTGCGTTGCCCACGAAGGCGCTCCTTGTACATGCCAATCTCTTCCCGCATCTCTTCTCGCAGATCTTGCAGAAGGTCCAGCTTCGACTCTGCCTTGGCAAGCTGCTGCCTGAGCTGCTCACACCTCTCCTGCAGCACTGCGTTCTGGATCTGCAGCTCAGCCTTGCTCCCCTCTGGTGCCGAAACCAGGAGGCAGCGTGCGTCGTAGCTGCAGCTATCGGCTTGCTGCTGCTGTTGCTGCTGTTGCCGCAATTCCAGCTGCTTTTCACTGGTGTCGTGCACCAACCGCTCCTTGGCCTCGGCATGCTCAGCCACTGCCGCCTTCAAACGATTCGCAAGATCCTCGCAACGTTCCTGGCCCCTGCCATGCTCACCCTGCAGCTGCTGGAGCTCCTTCCGCATCTCCGCCACGACTGACTCCGCACTTGTCGCGCGGTGTTCGAGCTCCTTGCACTGCTCCTTACACTCGGCACTCTCGCTCTGTGCAGTTTGCAGCTCCGCGGTCTTGCTGGACACCTCCGCCTCCGCCGCAGCCAGGCGACTGCTGAGCTCTCGGCTCTCCTCCTTCGACTGCTGGAGCTCGGCTTCGAGGCGGCGGCGCTGGGCAGTCTCCTCCTCGAGCTTCTGCCGCTTCCGCGCCGTCTCCGAGCTCTCCGCCTCGACGAGGCGCTCCGCGAGCTGCCGGCAGCGATCGCGGGTGCGGGGCTGTTGCAGGTACCAAGCCGCAACCCGCTCCCGGTCCGCTGCTGGGCGGAGGGCGCATCGAAGGAGCTCCGCCTGGGAGAAGCACCAGCAGTCGTATTCGTACTTCCCGTGCTCGGCCGCCCCGTGCCGGAGCAGCGCCTCGCAGAGGCGCTCCGCCCTCGTCGCCGTTTTCAGCTCTCCGAAGCGCTCGAGCCAGGCCTCGGCCTCCGCCGGCTGCGAGGCCCAGAGCTCCAAGAGCCGACAGCTCACCGCCTCGCGAGCTCGATCCGGAGGAGCATAACTGGCTCGCAAAACAGCCAAGTAGGCGAAGGCGTCGATGACGGTCGCCAAGGGCCAGCCGGCAGGGACTTCGGTCAGGTCTTTGAGAAACTTTGCTTCGGGCTGCTGGGGCATGGCGGCGCCTCGGAAGCTGAGCGGTTTGCGCTGCTGAGCCAGACCACTGTGCGATCCCAAGAGGAGGCATGGGGGCTTTACTTTGGACTGTGGCATGACGACGATGTCTGAAATCTGATTCGGAAAGAGAGAGGGGGCCATGCCCACCTCGGCAGAACATACGAGGTACATACCAGATTCAGGGAGTTTATAAACAACTTGCAAGTACATAAGTATATTCACACAGAGGTCATCTGTGAATGCGTTCGGGTTCGTGTGTGTGTGAGGGACATATATGTACATATTATACATGCATGCATACATCAACAACAAACCAGCAAGCAGGCTAGCAAGCTAGCTAACTGACTGACTGACCGACCGGCGAACTAAACCCAACCATAACTAACTGCAAGCAACTAACTAAAACTAACGGCCTGGCTAGCAAGTAAGCAAGCTAGCTAGCTAGCCATCTGACTAACTAACGAAGTAACGAACTGACTAAGTATACCAAACCATAACTAACTATCACTCATTAACTAGCGAACCAACTATCCAACTAACTAATTATACAGCTCGCTAGAGCGATCTAACTTACAAACATTCTAACTCACTAACGAACTGACGAACGAGCTAACTAACTAAAGCTAACTACAGCAAACTATAGCTAACTATATATAACCGTTAACCAACCTAAACCCGACTACCTAACTACCTACCCACTTATCTGACGAACTAACGAGCGAACTAACTAACTATAACGAACTACAACGAACTAAATGACAAACTAACGGACGAACAAACTAGTTAAATACATACATCCTATCCCAATCTCCATCCATCCATTCATAAATCCATGCATCCATACAATATGCATATATTTAACATACATACATACATACATACATACATCCATGCCTGCATGCATACATACATACATACGTACAAACATGCATACTTACATAAACCAATGCATACATACACAAGTACATACATACGTACATAGGTGCACATGCACACGTACACATGTACAAACGTACATGGAAAGTAAGTAATACATAATACATGAATACCTACATATGTTCGTGCACACACATACCTACAAACACACATATACATGTCCATGAACATGTACATGCATATATACACAGACAAATGCCTATAGATATGCATACACATACACATACACATACTCGTACACACATGCGTATAGTCATACTTACATGCGTACACACATCTATTGACAGGTACACAGGTGCATGTGTACCTGTATTATACATACATACACACACTTGAACAAACTTGCTTAGTCACGAACTTACATGTACATACACATATACACACGGCTAACACACACACACACACACACACAAACACACACACACACACACACACACACACATGCGTGCGCACGCATATATGCATACATGTTTTGCATACATATACATACTTCCTTCCATCCTTGCTTTCTTTCCTTCTTACTTACTTACTTACTTATCTACTTGTGAATCGCGTACATGCAGATATACATATAAAACAACTCTGGATACATGCTGTATGCATGTAGGAATGTATGTATGTATGCACGTATGTGTGCATGTGCATGTATTGATGCATGCATGCATGCATGCATGCGTCTCATGAGTAAACGCCTGCATGAATGCATCGTCGCATGGGCAGGTAAACACTGCTCCGAATGCTCGGCTTTGCAGAAACATGTCGCAGAACTCCAGTTAAGTCCTGCCTTGAAGTCAATGGACGATTGCAGGGAATGGAATCATAGTGATAGCAGGCAGCATCATCTTTCTCTGGTGTGCAAAACCAAAGGGGGTGGCTACCTTCTCCGGTTCCATGGGAAGCCTGCAGGGTTGAAAGGATGAGGAGCATTGGCTGTATCTCACAACCGCTCTCCATGAACCCTCAAGCCGTAACTTGCAGTCTAGCGGCGATACTCGTAAATCTCCGTCCGCATCTGCCCCTCGACGAAGCTCAAGGTGTTCTCTACTAGTAAGAGCATCAGCTATAGGTTTCAAAATCGGGAACATGAATAGAAAAGATAAGTTACAAGGTATTCGGGCAGGCACTGCGGCCCTGCCATGCTACGGGCTTTCATCGGATCAGCTTCCCACAGGCGACAGGAAGGGACAAACCCTGCACGACATTGCACGAGAGACAATAGATTTGGATACGAAGCAACTTCACGACATGGCTTTTCACAGCAACAGCTGCGAATGACTCCGGCTATTTCCAGTGTCCCACTACTTTAGGGTAAGGCCTTCAACCTTTGACGACTGGCCGCTGCTAGCCACCAACTCTTCATTCTAAACACTCGTTGCTACCTTAGAGGTTTACCGGCCGTAGCCCCCGACTTTCACACCTGGGCTCGCATATCTCAAACCTGAAGCTTTGCCAACTTCAGCAGAATCCTCATTGAAAGAAGCCCAGAAGACTGACAGGATGTTTATTTCAAAGACTTTGAGTTCCAGGATCCGAAGGAACGCGCAACACATGAACTTTAATGCTTCAATCCCCTAACCCTCAAAACACCGAACCGTAAAGCAATGAAGACATACTCTGTTATGTACCTCCAACTCTTCAAAAAACACACTGAAGCCTAGCACCCCAATACATAAATCCCTGAACCCCCAACTCGCAAGCCCTAAGCCCTGAACCTGCAAGCAACAAAAATCCGAAAGCCCCAACCCTATACCCAGCCTCAGCCCCTAAACCCCACCTGCCAACACCCCGAACGCATGGGCAGTTCTCTAAACTAGGATCGCTTTTTAGGTCCCCGCAATAGAACTGCACAATTATGAAATGGGAACCTGTTTTGGATAACTACGCACATGAACCCGTGGTAATGAAACTGCAACACGCTCTGCCCATCCCATCTCGCCTCTGTAGAGCTGACCTGTCCGCGAATGAGACTACGAAGGTCTTGAGCTTGTCGTTTTAGGGGTTTCGGCTTTGAGGGCTTCAGGACTTAAAGGGTGTACAGCGTTTTCGGGCTTTTGGGTTTGGAGTTGTACGGATTGAACTAAGGATGCACAGGGTTTATGCTTAAGTGCTCAGGGCCAATGAAAGTGCCTGTACAGTTCGAACCTTTTGGTTTGAAGGGGGGCGCGGCGATTCGCGCCATCCGTCTTGTTGGTTGAGTTTTGTATTCACAGTTGATAGCTTGAGTGTCCATATAGGATCTGGGGCTAGAGGAAAACTGGGCATGGGGCTCACAAATTGGGCTTCAGCGGTTAGGATGTTCGCAGCTGTTGCAAGTCAGGCTGCCTGGGACTCAGGCAAGACTTGCACTGGCGGACAGCGCAGAAGAGTAGAAGTTCGGGCTGGGGTTGGGGTTGAAGTTTTGGGCATGCAACCTTTTGCGGCATCCCATGGAACAAGGCCTGAAGTCATACCAGTGGAGCATTGAGCATTCCAATAAAAATGCTTGCGCGGCTGAAGCTTGGTACTGGCTAGTGCTAGAGATTCTGTGTTTGGAAGTGCGGGCAACGATCCTGGTATAAAGGGCCTCTTAGCATTTAAGACGGGGTATCTCGGGTTGCAGAGTGGCAGGCTGGTGCTGGGAAAGACTTGGCTTCTGAACTTGCAGCTTTAATCCTGTGACATGTACGTGTAGCGGGGTTAAGTCGCGTCAGGGCGCGTTTAGTCACAACACCCCAAGGTGACGCTCGATCCGCGTTTAGTCGCATCACCCGCGTTTAGTCACATCAGAAGTAGCGAAACCCCATGGGCACACGGCCCGGAGGTGGGTTTCAACACATGTAGCGAAATGAGTAAAAAGGCCGCGTGACGCAGGTATTCGTGGCTATTTTGCACTCACATCACCTCATTTCATCACACCAGAAATATCGAAACCCCATGTGGACGCCGCCCGGAGGTGGGTTTCAACACATGTAACGAAACGAGTGAGCTGTGCGCGTGCCGCAGGTATTTGGGCTTATTTTGCAGTCACATCACCTCGTTTCATCACACCAGAAACATCGAAACCCCATGTGGGCGCCGCTTGTTTAGTTCGCGAGTGGGGACTGCAACAGTGTATTTTGCAGGGATTTTCGGGTTCTGACTGGTGGTATAGATAGTAGGCCTGCGCGACGCCCGCGCGAGCTCGCGCGAGCGCCGCGCGACCTCCAACCCTATACTGTCAAAACCTGTTCCATTCCCCATGTGAGCGCGCGATTCGGCCGGCAACCGCTCGAGAAACTAGCCATTCCCCATGTGGACACTCAATTTCGCGAGCCAGACGCACATCAATGGCATCACAACCCATCAAGGCCAGCCGTTCCCCATGTAGACGCTCGATTTTACATACACTCGAGGCACACACACAACCAAAGTGATCACCCATGACATCACAGCACATCATAACCAGCCATTCTCCATGTAGACGCTCGATTCCATAGGGCCGGTCGAGTCATAAGTGGTTACACATGAACTAGCCATTCCCCATGTAGACGTTCGATTCCAGAAGCACCCGCTCGGGACACACGTCGAGGGCGTCACAGCACACCAAAACCAGTCATTCCCCATGTGGACGCTCGATTCCACAAGCAACCGGTGGAGGCACACATAAGTATTCACTGT